GAAGCCCATAGCCAATGGCTAGCTAACAGGAAGGACAAAAAGCTAGCCCCTTGCCTCAAGGTGAAACCAACTTTACAGTACAAATCATGTTCCAGAATCCTGTGGGATGAGGTAGGCAAGTCTCCAGCTGAGACATACTTACTCAGCTCTTTCCCCTGCCCCATCCGGCTTCCCTCACAGAGAGCTCTCCCTCAACAGAGCACTTAAATTCGAATCTCCATTTCAGTTTCTGTTCCCAGAGAACCCAACCTGAGTCAGGATTTTACATCAGAATAATATGTCTCACATCTCTTAGAAAAAGCATGAGCAGCACAAGTTGATCTGTAAATATTTAAATGATTTCAGTAGAGTATACTAATAGTCTTACACTCAATAAACAAAAGCCACTTTCCCAGGGCTGCAAACAGAATCATTTTATGGTAAATATGGATTGTGGTCTCATTCTTCATTTTTTCCTGCCCTTTTCTATATTGACCAAGTTGATGTGACTATTGGGTCATCTAGGATCTGAGTCTCAGCCTTGCAAGGCCAGAAATACGTGTATCGCTTCTTTGAAGGTATGGCAACCCATGGGAGAGGGCAGGTACATAAATCACAATTCCAGTTAACTGATTTACATCCACAGCCATATGCTCTTTGAATCATAATTCTCACACACCTAGCATTTCCTTTCTATGTGCATAAGTTTTATCTGGAGATACATTTTTATGTATGTATGTATGTATGTATGTATGTATGTATTGGGGTGGGGGTGGTAATCCAAATTTTATTCTCCAACAGTCAGCATCAGCAGGTAAAACTACAGGGCTTTCTCTTATTAACTTAACAATGAGAAAGCTTCTGGTGTGTGTCCTCTGTAACAATATTCACTTCACAGTGTAAACAGGTACTATTATTGTGTTCACTTACAATTCCAGAAGGTAAGGCACAACTTGGCAAAAAAAATTAGATTTATTTTTTGGATCCTAAAGTCAGGTGCAATAACAAACTTTTGAGAACAGTCTTTATCTACATTCCATATTGAAGGGGAAAGACTCCTCCACACAGAAATTAGGGTCTTTCTTTCTTGTTCCTCATTAAACCGTTACAGCACTGTTTCATCATTCACTTAATATCATATACACACCAAAAAAAAAAACATTAGAAAAATCACAAAAACATCTTGAACGTCCAGCTGCTCTCACCAATACATCAACTCTTAGGTTTAAGACATGGACTAGGAAAACTTCAGCAGTCATAAAATAGGAAAAGAGAGACTAAGGCTACAAAAATAAAAAATAAATGAGGTAGATAACAAAGCTTTCATAACCAGGACTTGCCTGTTCCAACTTTGTAGCCTTCGTGCAATACTCATGAAAAGAAATCTTCATAATTATTTGGCATAAGCTACAAGAAAGTTTTTATTAAAATTAGTATGTGAAACTCTGGCTGGGTGGCTTGGTTAGTTGGAGGAGCATCCTCCCATACACCAAAGGTGATGGGTTGGATTCCCAGTCAGGGCACATATTTAGGTTTGAGGTTTGATGGGGGCCCATACAGGAGGCAACCGATCGATTTTTCTCTCCCACATCAATATTTGTTTCTCTCTCATTAATAAAAATATATCCTCGGGTGAGGATAGTATGTGAACCTATGAGAAAACACGCCCTTCCGTGAGTTTCTTCAAGAATGAAAACCCACTTATTTGATAGAATAGGCACTGGTGAACTAAACTAAGTCACTTGAGGTCCCCTGCTCAGGTGCCCACCTGTTCTGGTGTTCAGGAAGAAGGTGGCATCTGGAGAGCACAGGGAATAATACATTGGCACTCTTAGGGTTCCAAATGAACTGTTTCAATAAGCAGCAGCACATACATTGATTCCCTAAGGACTAAAATCAGTCCATTTGAGGGCATCCTACTTAAGATTCCAAGGTTAAAGGAATTTTGTAATTCTACAACATTAGTTTTTATAAAAGTACATTCAAAAACGGGGGGAAGGCCCCAGCTGGGCAGCTCAGTTGGTTAGAGCATTGTCCCGATATGCCAAGTTTACAGGTTCCATCTATGGTCAGGGCACATACAAGAATAAACCAATGAATGCATAAATCATTGGAATAATTTCGATGTTTCTCTTTCTCTCCCTTTCTCTCTCTCTCTCTCTCTCTCTCTCTAAAAATCAATAAATGTCAAGGAAGGAAGGAAGTATATAGCACCCCCTCATCCCAATTAGGTTAAGCAGTTGTCTTTTACATTGTGATTCAGTAAGTTCCAACTTGAATCATATGACAGTCTTTGGAAATAGTAACTCTATCTTGTACAAAGGTTTTATGTACACAGTTGGTTGCAAGTAATAAAGCTACTTTACAAGACCTACTTCTTTCCAAAATTTTAAAAAACTCCAGTCTGTAAGATTTTTTTGTTTTGTGTTATTTTCGCAAAGCAGCATAGCAACATTGTGATTGTAGGACTTGCTTGAGTTGGTGGTCACAACTGTAAACATCGTTTGCACATCAGTAAAAACAAACAAACAGGAGGAGATGGGTTATAACAAAAAAGAAGAAGAAAGTCCAGTTCAAGAATGGTCACTCTACATTTCTCCAGGTGGGTTCTCCTGTAGCTTAGCTTCCAGTAAGTGAGGGGACTGGTGTTTGGGAATGCTGTCAGCAGCACCTGGTTTTTCCACACCAGCACTAACAGCTGACTGAGAGCCATCTATCTTGGAGACAGTGGTGTTATCCACAGCAGAGCTTGCCCCCTGGGAAGCTAGGAGAGTAGAGAGATCTACACTCTGGATCATTGAGCTATTGTTGGTATTATTGGCCAGACCACCACTGAGCATGGTGGTGTACTGGTTGCACACAACAGGGTCCACATTCACTGAAGGGACCATGGTTTCCTGGGGAAACATTTCAGGGAGCCTCTTTCCATCGGTTCCTAACAGAACCGTGGTGTTCTCAATACCCTGCTTCCTCCCACAGTGTGCAGAGCTATTGTTAGCCCCATGCGTCATATAGTGGGCTTGCAAGTTGTCTTTGGTGGTGAAAGCTTGCCTACATATGTTGCACATGAAAAGCTTCTTCTCCCCAGTGTGAGTCCACTCATGAATTTGAACAGCACTGGCCAATGAGTTCTTCCTGAACTGTGTGTGGCCATGTTGCTTGTCTTGTTGGCATGGCTGAGCTGCTAACGAAGATGCCATGCCTGGGTATATGGTTGTGGGTCCAAATGCACCAGGAACTTCATCTTTGACATATGTTGGCTGGGCCTTGGCAACTGTTGATGGGAGACTGCTCCAACCTTCCATATCAGTGTGGCTGTTCTCTGAGCTCTCTGCTTTGCCACCAACATCAGGAAATTTGGACTTGTTTCTTTCTGCTTTGCCATTGGCTGGGGTGATGGCCTGAAAGGATGTGACTTCCAGAAAGTCTGGACTTCGGCTCTGATACTTCTGGTCTCCTATCACTGAGGACAAGTTAGTCAAGCCACCACTCTCCACCAAACCTTTTCCTCTGCTGCTCTGCTGCACAGCAGCAGGACCCACAACCAGGGGAGCTGTGATGGTTAAACCTGGCATAGGTGATGTCGAGTGGGTGCTCAGAAGAGGCATGGGGATCTTCGATGAGCTGCTAGGGGCATCCTGAGAGCCAACTCTGTCTACATCAGTGCTTTCAACATCATTGTGACATATGGCACTTGTGCTGTTGTTCTCACTGATCTTCATCGGCTCAGGATCCCTAAAGTCACAAGGATTTTCCAGAACAAGTGTGTTGGGAATCTGACCACCCATGTGCATCCAAATATGTCGCTGCAACGTGACTGCATTGCTAAACTTCTTCTGGCAGATGGGACACGAATGCTTCGTCTTTGTGGATGTGTTGGTTTGGTGAGTCTTTAAGTGTGTATTCAGGTTGTGTTTGGTGGAGAAGATTCGGTCACAGGTCTTACACTTGTATGTACTCTCCCTGGTGTGGGTGCGGTAATGCATTTTGAGAGACCTTTGGCTGCTTAAGACACGGTGGCAAATGCGACATTCATTGGGGTTAGTGGTGGCCTTGTCATTGTTCTCCACCAGCTGCTTGAGAGTCTCTGACCCTGGCTCGGGTGCCCCTCTCCCTTGGAAACTACCAACCCTTGGGTAATTATGGTTTGGCCCTACCCCAGAGAATCTGTATCCATCCTCACTTTCTGGAGGCCAGGGCTGAGGATAGTTGGCCAGTGAGCCACCCATTAGGTCCTTGGGGTTAGTCCCACAAGAGAGATTCTGAGGTAGCCCTTGGGACCTGGGGGTCCCTGAGACCAGGACAGATTTGTTAAAACTTGATTCATCTTCAGGAACAGGTACAGAGAGTGCATAGGGAACACCAATGCCTGTCGCCATTTTGTTGTGGAACTCGCCAAACAGCTGGGGGTTCGCTTCCACCTGGAAATGTTGATGAAAGTGCGCCTTGAGGTCGTCCTCTGTGGTGAACCACTGGCCACAGACAGAGCACATGAAGGGTCTCTCTCCAAAATGGGAACGGAGGTGGACCTGTAAGGAGTTATCAGTCCCAAAAACCTTGCTACAGTAATTACATTTGTACATGTGGATGCCAGCCTTGTCTTTGGGTATGACATCCACTGGGGGCACATTGGATGGCCTCCCTTTCCCATTCGTGGATGGGTCTAATGCCACAGTGGAGAAAGGACTCTGGAAGGGCACAGAGCCTGGGGCCTGAGGTATCACAGCACCTGGGAGGTGGTTCGGAAGCACCCTTGACCCATCTGGCCTTGGGGCAATGGATACCAGCCCTGGGGGCACAGAGCTGGTGGTGGGAGGTATATTTGTGTGAGGTAGGCTGGCTTGTTTCAAGGGGTCCAGAGACAGACCTTGGACCTGCTGGGACACGTGGCTGCCTAAGGTCTTCAGGGCATCAGCTCCCACCATGCCTGAGTGGAGGATGTGGGTGGCCCACATGCTTACCCAAATGTGTATCTGCTCAGTGAACTGGATCTGCTGTAGCTGCTGCTGCAGCTGGTGCTGCTGTAGATACAGGACCTGCTCCAGGAACCATGGGATGCTGTTGGCACCAGGCAGGGGAGCAGGCAGGGAGGCTGAGTAAAGCCACAGCTGCAGAGACCTGCTGGGAGACGTGGCTGCCTAAGGTCTTCAGGGTGTCAGCTCCCGCTGCACCAGAGTGGAGGGCATGGGCGGCACACATGCTCCCCTGGACTCGGATCTGCTTGGTGAGCTGAATCTGCTGTAGCTGCTGCTGCTGCAGACACAGGATCTGCTCCAGGACCCATGGGATGCTGTTGGCACCAGGCAGGGGGATGGGCAGCGCCTCCGTGCTCCACTGATTCACTGCCACCTTGGTGCCCCGTAGTGGTTGAAGAGTGACATTAGTGTTGGCCACTTTGCCTTTGGGTAAATAGCTTGAGTCCTGGGATGTGGGTGGCAGAGCAGTCTTCATCTTTAAATGCAGAACAGACTCTGCCCCTGGCTTCTCCTTCATGTCCCATGAGCTGACACCATGCTCCCTGGGACTCTCCTTACTGCTTGGATTGTGTGGTTCGTAGCTCTCCACAGCCCTGAAGTCTTCTGAAGGCACCAGGCCCTCACTCTCGTTCATGATGAAGACAGGTAGAGATTTAGTGCAATTTTTCTTATGTTCTAATAATGTAGACAAGCTAAAGAACACTCCACTGCATATCTCACAGATATGAGTCTGCTCCCAACAAGGTCTCTTTACCTTCACTCGGTCCCCATTCATGTCCTCGCCAGTCCCCGGGTTGTTCATTGGAGCACCTGGCTCCCTCACCGCAGACACCACTGGGGCTGCATCTGCAAACTTCAGGGCCAGCTGCTGCGGCTGCTGCTCTCCCTGGTCCTCCTCCAAGTTGATGTGTTGAGGTTTCACCTGCTTGCGCCTCGACATGATGCAAGTATTAGGACGCCAATCAAGCCACAATTATTTGCCCACTCCACCACAAATTCCTGGAGTTGGAAATAAATTTTAAATAATAAAATTTTCAAATATAGAACTATAGAAACAAACAAAGGAACTAAGTAAGGACAATGTACATGAAAAAAATTTTTTTCACATTCAAGGATGTTTCCAAATAGCAATTTGAGAAAAAGGAACATGTCTTAATCATGTGGTGTTCAATATATGAATGATTTACATTAAAGGAGGAATCAAAATTACCTGAAGAATACTAGAAACACAATGGCAAAGTAGCCTTTCAAGATTTTTTCTCATGGCTTATGTTTACCCTAGCCACTAAATCTACTCCTAGTTTAAACCTACTTTCATGATGTGATTTTATCTCAACTTCATGTCTTCTTTGACATTTTCACTCATTTCTTTAATTCTCTAGAAGTCCAGCCAGTCACTACTAGTAGATGTCCAAGATGGCACACTCACAGGGCTGTTGAAGGAGGCCTTGAGTCCTTCTTATGTAGGCCTCTCCACAAGGCTGCCTGAGTGGCTTCAGGACAAGGCAGCTGACTTCCCCCAGAGCTAGTGATCTATGACAGAGCGCTTTTTCAACCACATGGTCTTTTATGACCTAGTCCCACAGAAGACATAGCACTTCTGCCATATTCTATTTGTTAGAAGCAAGTCACTAAGTCCAACTCACACTCAAGAAGAGGGGACTTGAGCTCCAGTTCTTGAAAGGAATAACAAAGAATTTATGGATAGATTTTAAATCACCACACAACTCTTCAAAGAACTGGTTCCTAACTATTGTCTTGTTCTTTACGAAATCACTCTCAAATTTGCAAAATGCTATGGTTTTGAGTTTAAACTGATGCCAATATATTTATAAACTTACAATGAGAACAGAGTTTTTAAAATTCATAAGCATTTAGTTTACTATACTTTTTTGCAGTAATTTTAGATTCACAGATAATTATAAAAATAGTACAAAAAATTCCTGTATACATTTCACCCAGATTCCTCAAATGTTTCCATGTATGCTTCTCTCTCTCTCTCTCTCTCTCTCTCTCTCTCTCTCTCTCTCTCCTACTCTCTTTCTAGATATATCTTTTCTGATTCATTTGAGAATAAATTGTAGGCATAATTATCCCTTTACTCCTGAATACTTCAGTGTACATTTCCTAACACTTATGTTCTCTTGTATAATCACTATACAATTGTCAAAATCAGGAAAGTAACTATCATCTAATCTATAAACTTTATTCAATTGTCACCAATTGTCCTACTAATGTCCTTTAGAGTAAAAGTGGGGGGGGGCACTTTCTCATCCAGGATCCAATTCAGGAACACATATTGTATTTAATTGTCACATCCCTTTACTCTCCTTTCATCTGAAGCAGTTCTTTGGTCTCTTTGTCTCATGACCTTGACATTCTTGAAGACTACAAGTCTTGCCTGGCTGGTGTAGCTCAGTGGTTGAACGTAGACCTATGAACCAGGAAGTCAGGGTTCAATTCCCAGTCAGGGCACATGCCCGGGTTGCAGGCTCAATCCCCAGTAGGAGAGATGCAAGAGGGAGCCGATCAATTATTCTCTCTCATCATTAATGTTTCTCTCTCTCTCCCTCTCCCTTCCTCTCTGAAATAAAAATATATATTTTAATGAATTAGGCAATGTAAAAGGATACAAAATTAACACCCAGAAATCTATGGCTTTTTTATACACCAATAATGAACTCACAGAAAGACATACTAAAAAAACAATCCCATTTACCATTGCAACAAAAAAATTAAGATATCTAGAGATAAACTTAACCAATGAGGTAAAGGACCTGTACTCAGAAAATTACAGGATGCTGAAAAAAATAGATAGAGGAAGGCATAAACAAATGGAAGAATATGCAATGTCCATGGATTGGTAGAATCAACATCATTAAAATGTCTATACTACCCAAAGCAATCTATATATTCAGTGCAATCCCAATTAAAATACCAATGGCATATTTCACCGACCTAGAAAAACTCTCCAAAAATTAATCTGAAATAAAAAGGACCCTGAATACCTGCAGAAATCTTTAGAAACAAGAACAAAGTTGGGGGGAATCACAATACCAGATATCAAGCTATACTACAAAGCCACTGTTCTCAAACTGTCTGATACTGGCACAAGAACAGACATATAGACCAATGGAACAGAACAGAGAACCCAGAAATCAACCCAGGCCATTATGCTCAATTAATATTTGACAAAGGAGGCAAGAGCATACAATGGAGTCAAGACAGTCTCTTCAATAAATGATGTTGGGGAAATTGGACAGATACATGCAAAAAAAATGAAACTAAACCACCAACTTACACCATACACAAAAATAAACTCAAAATGGATAAAGAACTTAAACGTAAGATGGGAAACCATAAAAATCTTAGAAGAAGCTATAGGCAGCAAAATAACAGACATTTGTCACAGCAATATCTTTACCGATACAGCTCCTAGGACAATGAAAACTATTTTCTCTAAGGAGAAAATACAAAAATGGGACTACATCAAAATAAAAAGCTTCTGCACAGCAAAAGAAACCATCAACAAAACAAGAAAGCCCACTGCATAGGAGAACGTATTTGCCAATGTTATCTCCCATAAGGGTTTAATCTCCAAAATTTCTTTTGTTACATCTTAACAAAAGGAAGATAAGCAATCCAAACAAAAAAATGGGCAAAGGACCTAAATAGGCACTTTTCTGAAAGAAGGTCAAGAGACACATGAAAACATGCTCAAAGTCACTAATCATCTGAGAAATGCAAGTCAAAACAACAATGAGGTACCACCTCACACCTATCAGAATGGCTATCATCAAGAAATCAACAAATGACAAGTGTTGGTGAGGATGTGGAGAAAAAGGAATCCTCTTGCACTGCTGGTGGGAATGCAGACTGGTGTAGCCACTGTGGAGAACAGTATGGAGTTTCCTCAGAAAACTAAAACTGGAACTCCCATTTGACCCAGTGATCCCACTTCTAGGAATATATCCCAAGAAACCAGAAACACCAATCAGAAAGGATATATGCAGCCCTATGTTCATAGCAGCACAATTTACCATAGCTAAGACTTGGAAGCAGATGAGTGGATTAAAAAAACTGTGGTACATCTACACAATGGAATACTACACTGCAGTAAAAAAGAAGGAATTCTTACCATTTGCAACAGCATGGATGGAACTGGAGAGCATTATGCTAAGCGAAATAAGCCAGTCAGAGAAAGATAAATAGCACATGATCTCACTCATTTATGGAAAATAATGAACAACATAAACT